ATCTTTACAATCTCTGACACATTCAAGCTTAGTGATATAGTCGTTGTTAGTCAACCTTGTTGGGGTCTTCCTCTCTACCACCTTCCCTAGCACGTTGTTATGTGCCATAAGTTGATTACAACCCACAGTGATCCTATGCACAATAGCTCTGAACCCTGTTCTATCCTGAGCCAGTGTCACTATCTCTGACATACCTACTCTCATTACCCCAGTTTTTGTGTCAATCCATCTCAACCAGGATCTTTCTCTCCTGCACTGTCCCTTGACCCTGCCAAGCATGATGTTCTTCTCAAAGACTAGTCTTCTCCGGGCTACATGCCCAAAGTATGAGACAGAGTCTTAAAATCCTTGCCTCCAAGGGGTAGCTTGGTTTCACCTTGTCCAGGACAGACCTGTTAGTTCTCTTGGCGGCCCAAGATATGTTCAGTACTCTTCTCTAGGACCACAACTCAAAGGCATCAATCTTTCTGTCTTCTTTGGTCATTGTTCAGCTCTTTGCTGCATGACAAGTAGTTGCGAAGACCATGTCCTGAATCAGGTGCACATTTAGTCTCGATAGACTGACATCCTTGCTCTTTAGCATTCTGCATGTTGTTATTCTTTGCCATCAAGTCTCCTGTGACTCATAGTGACCCTATGTACAATAGCCTTAAACCCTGCTCTATCCCATGCCCCTCTCACTGTCCTCGAAACACCTATTCCGAATACCCCAGTCATTGAATCAGTCTACCTCATAGAAGTTTTTCCTTTGCTGCACTGTCCCTCCACCCTCCCAAGCATGACACCCCTCTCAAAGGATTGGTTCTTCTTGCAACATGTCCAGAGTATGTCAGACAAAGCTTCAGAATCCTTACCCCCAAGGAGCAGCCTGATTTAACCTTCTCTAGGTCAAAGCGGTTCATTTTCTTAGCAGTCCATGGTATATTCAATATTCTTCCAACACCACAGCTAAAAAGACATCAAAATTCTCCTTCTATCTTCCCTAGTCATTGTCCAGCTCTCTGATGCATAGCAAGTGATTGCAAAGACCATGGACTGTATCAGGTGCACCTTGGTCTCCAGAGTGACATCATTGCTCTTCAGTACTTTGGCACAATCTCTAACAGCAGACTTTTCCATCGCAATACATCTTTTGATTTCCTGGCTGCTGGTGCCAAGAGTGTTAACTGTGGAGCTAAGCAAACTAAAGCTGTTAATTGTCTGTATAGGTACAAGAAAATAAATTCCCTAAGAAATTGCAAATTATAAGTACAATTTAGAAAAGAAAAAAGTAGAAGTTAATGAGTCTCCAAGATTGTTATGGTCCTTAGACATCTTTCAAGGCTTGAACTAAACCTACCTCTAGGACTCTACTTTCAAACAAACAATAAATATTTCATAAGGTGAATAGTAACACCAGGGAGAAATGTACTCCACAGTTCAATAAACCATGTAAAACTAAAAGGGCAGTGTTTCCCAAGACCAAGTCTAAGAAGGCTGTAAGGAAGGACAGGAAAGAAGGACAAAAAGAAATAGGAAACCCAACGAGGAAGTAAGAATGCTGATACACTGAATGGATTCCAATTAATGGCCAGAAACAATGTGTATAAATGTGCAGGGAGACACTTCAACAACAAATAAATTTTGAAAAAGAATGCAAGAGATAACTTGGTTTGTTAGAACTGAAGAACATATCAAAAGACAGAGACTTAAATTATTGAGTGGATTCTCTGTGGATCGGTGAGAACAAGAACTTAATAAGCAGAGGCATTTGTGCATTTGTGGAAAATTAGTATAACTTCAAAACAAACAAGCTAAATTTACTGTCATTAAATCAATTCTGATTCATAATGGGAGGATGGATATTGTCTATCTTTCTCCTGTGGAGCTGCTGGTATTTTCACATCACCAGACACATACCCTTTTGGTTAGCAGTACACTGCAATGTCAGAGATCTGGGAGTGGGGAGGGGGTACCCCATTTAGGCTGTCAGATCTAGGGAAGAAAAAGCCCATGTTAAAAGAGAAAGAGAATTCAAAACTGAATAGGTAATATCAAGTATGGTTATAAGAGTCATGTCATAGTTTTGATGAAAGATTAGAAATGTGTTACCTAATGGTCTTTGCAATTACTTGCTAAGGAGAATTGATGCCTTTGAGCTGTGGTGCTGGAGAAGAGTATTGAGTATACCATGGGCTGCTAGGAGAACAAACAAGTTCATCCTGGAGAGGGTGAAGCCAGGCCGTTCCTTGGAGTCAGTGATTCTGAAGCTTTGTCCGACATAGTTTAGACATGTTGCAAGGCTGGATCAGTCCCTGGAGAGGGGCGTCATGTCATGTTTGGGAGGGTGGAGGGACAACACAGGAGAGGAGGACCCTCAGTGAGATGACTGGGGTAATTGGGATAGGCATGTCACAGACAATGTGGTTGGCAAGGGATAGAGCATGGTTTAGGGCTGTTGTACATAGAGTCGCTCTGAGTCTCAGTTGACTTGACGGCACATAACAGCAGCAACAATAATCAGTGTCACGTTTTTCTTGGTTTTTTTTGTGATTGTATGGTGATTTTATTGCAGCATTTGCAATAATTAATTGAAATAATTACTGTGACAGCCAAAAAATATGGAAATGACAGACTTACTCTGGATCTGGGTTCTGAGGAAATGTAGTAGGAAGCAAACTGAATAGCTCAGCAATGCTAACTTGACTCATAATGGCAGATTTTTCAGAGTACTACTAATTATACCCTCATGGAACGTCTGTTCACAATGTAAAGCACCAAGTATGATTCTAGTATATTTTTAAGTTAGAAAATTTCCTAACATGAAAGTTTACAAATAAAGAAATATAGTGGAGAAATGGATTTGTGCTAATGAAAAGATGGGTGTTAGTATGTTTAAAATGTACACTAGAAAAGTAGAAATACGTTTCTGTATCTGCTGATGTAGTAGATTAATCTTTACATATAAAAATTAGAAAAATCTGGAGTAAAGTGAAGAAATAAACTAGGGGTTTTTTTTTCCCTAAATTGAAGATAAGGCTGCTTAAGCAAGAATGTTAGACTCTTACATGTTGTTGGTCCTATGTGCTGTCAAGTCACCTGCAACTCTATGTGCAACAGCTCTGAACCCTGTTCTGTCTTGTGCCAATTTCATTGTCTCTGACACACCTACCCCTATTACCCAAGTCACTGAGAAAATGCATCTCATTTAGGGTTTTTCTCTCTTACACTGTCGAAAGGCATGATGCCTTTCTCCAAGGACAGGTCTCTACTGGCGACATGCCCAAAGTATGTCAGATGAAGCTTCAAAATCTTTGCTGCCAAGGAACATCCTTGTTTCACTCTCTCCAAGATAGAGCTGTTTGTTCTCTTAGCAGTCCATGCTATATTCAATACTCTTCTTCAGCACCACAGCACAAAGGCATTGATGTCAACGTATAATTATTCTCTTGCTTGTTTTTTTCCTAACAACAGTAAGACAAGAATGACATTTGCAAATAAAAGAAATATAATTTATTAGAGGAACAATATTTTAATCAGTTATATTAGCTATAAAGATGATTTTTTAAATTTTCATAATGCTAAGCTTTATAAAAAGGACATTTTCATTGAAATATGACATCATAAGATTAAAATATTTTTATTCAAAGTATCAGTTATTCTTTTTAACTTCTGTAACGTCCAGTAAGATAGACTGTAGTTTCTTGATGGCCAAGAATTACTTAAGAAAGCCATGCATTTAAAAAACAGAAACCTTTCCTAACCTCAGCATTTAATGGAAGCTTTGTAATATATTTTTTATATATATATATCTCCCCATTTTTTTGTGGTTAATAGAGCTATTATGGGGGAATATTAAGAGGAAAACCCAATATTAAGGGATATAAAGTGTTATCTTTGATTATATGGACTTCTTGAATATAGAAGTCTTGGTTTTATAAATCTCCAATATTTCAATATTCTATAAATTATTTGCTCATATAGAAATGTATTAGAAATGCTCATGTAGTATGCACTATAGCTTATCCTCTAGTGTGTTTTCAAAAACTATAAATCGCACAGATTGCCTCTCTTCTTCCCACAGAGCATCTGGTGAATCAAACTGACTGCCTGTTGGTTGGCACAGCAACTCTTCACCTACTGCCCCACTAGAGTTCCCTTAGTGTGTGCTAATATTATTTGCATTGTAATTAATTATACATCCTTAGGTGTTGCTATTAATAAGGAAGAAAGTACCCCAGGCATCAGGGTAATAATAGTGCTAACAACCAGTGTTGATCCGTTTAGTATTAAAATGCAATCGTAGATGAAACAAAGGATTCATTCTGTGGTAGCTACAATATCAGGGCTTGTTCCATGCTTTATTTGTTCACTATTTAACTCAATGGTGATTATAATAGTAGTATTTTATAGTCTAGAACCAGCCACTTTCTTTAAAATATGGATTTTCTTGGACCTGTAGTTCAGTCTTCAAATTCGGAATATTCAAAATGCATACTGTATTGATACTAGCCACTGCCATCAAGCCGGTTTCAACTCCTAGCAAACAGATTTAAGAAGCTAGAAATCTTTTGTAGAATGAGGCTGCCCAATTTTCTCCTGCAGAGCAATTAGTCGATTTGAACCACTTATCTTTTGGTCAGCAACCCAGTAAGTCAAGTACACAGCCATCAGGGATCCTAATACTGATATTAGAAAGGTAAAATGTGATAGGAGAAGTTAGAATTCCAAATATCAGGCTTCCTAACATATATGCCTAACAGAATTATTCGTTTATTCGCTAAGAAGTATTCATTTATCACTTCTGTGTATGAAAACAAAAAAAGCTAGCTGCATATAGGATAAAGTGAGGAAGCACATATTATTAATACAGAAAAAATTTTATACTAGGGTTATATTCTTGTATAACTACTTTGTTAGTAAATCTAAAAAAATTAAGTCAGGAATAAAGTTAAAGTTATCATATTGAGGATTTAATTACTCTGAATAACCTAAATTTTCATTTTCACTGCATTTTCTAGGCAATAAAATTGGAATATTCAAGGTTGGTTAAGTTGGCTCAAGAAGATACCCCACCAGAAACAGATTATCGTCTACACCATGTCGTGGTCTATTTTATCCTGAACCAAGCACCAAAGAAAGTCATTGAGAAAACATTGTTGGAGCAATTTGGAGATCGAAATTTGAGTTTTGATGAAAGGTAATTTGAAAATATGAACTACCTATTCATTTTCCACCAAATTGTCATTTTTCTCTGTAAATTCACAGTAGTGTTTTATACATGTACAAACATGTTTTAAATAAAGAGGGCACAAATTCACTTTTATTTTTTTGAACCGCTGCTTTATATTTTTTCTGAAGCTTATAATCATGGTCTTTTAAATTTACACTGAAAAGTAACCTTGACTCAGTTAATGAATTTTAATTGTGAATCATGGTACCAAATAGTACACTAATATAAGGAAAGCCTAATGGGAATTATTTTTAAGGTATTAAAGAAAGTATTTTCAACCCGAATGTTTTGTATTAGATTCTTTGTAGGTAGAAGAGATTTCCATATAGGATAGAGTGTTTCATAGTACCCTTGGCTTTATCTGCTACATGTCAATAGTGTCCCCCTAAGTTGGGAAAACTCAAAATGTCTATATTCTAGAGAAACAAAATCACTTCTCTTATAGAAGTGTTGGATAAAAGTATTGATGCAGGGATACAAATAAGATAAACAAGGTTGGAGAAAAAAGAACGAATAAAGTGGTTAAATTCATTTTGCCTTTTTAAAAAACACTGTCTTAAAAATGAGATTTAATCTAGTTAGAATGAAATTTTTAAAAAATTAGTTCCATATGAAAGTGTTACTATATTGAGAGTTATTTTAGAATACAGAAACATTATGCTTTTCTGGAATTAACTGTGATTGTAATTTAATTCTGAAATAGAAGATTATCATTTTTATGGATATCTCTAAAAAATTATGAAGAAAGATAAGGCCTTTGGATTTAAATCCTGCTTCACTATATGCCAACTATGCAATTAATTAAAAGAAATATCCAAGTGAATGTTTTTTAAACTATTTGGTAGACATAATAAATATTGAATAACCCTAGTTTTTATACTTGTCTTGCTACCTGTGACTACAGAGAGCTCAGATACCTAATTATGGTTCTCATTATCTGATTATCACTGTACTATGTTCTCATACATATGCTCTTTTTAAATTAGGGAATATGTTAATGGAGTAACCCAGAACTCTTTAATCAGTTGCTAATATCTAGGCTGATAATTGCAAGTGGCCAATCTATTTTGTTAACCTGATTTTCTTAGTTCTTGAAAGATAGGTATATGTGATTGCATATATTAATACTTTGTTGGAATTATTTTGATATTAATTTTGATCATAAAATGTACTGAAATGTTTCCATCTTTCCCTGAAATGATTGGTACACTTTATATTTGTCTTTCTACAACTTAGGGTAAAAAAAACCCCAAACTTAATGTCTGTTGAGCATACTTGATAGATACGTATTGGTAATCAATCAGTCGACATGTTTCATGTTTTCCCTATGCAGTTTGTATTGTATTTTTATTTAGTGTGTCTTCAAAGTTATTTTTATTTTGAGTTGCCTAAATTAAGTTTGTATGTTTATTGATAAAGCATAGTTTAAAGACTGTATCTAAATGTAAATAAATATGATATATTTGAATTAGACTCCCTGATGCTATCATATATTTAATATTTTAACATTGGCCCAAAACACGCTTTGTTTTCCACAAGGTGTTTGGGAAGTGTTGCCTGAACTAAAAAAAAGTTCAGTGACAAAATACTTCATTTTTATGTGTTTGGTAGCTTAATTATTGTGTAACACATGTTTTTTAGTCTAATGCATTTTACCTCTGATTTTGGAATACATTTATTTAAAGGTGTCACAACATTATGAAAGTTGCTCAAGCAAAGCTTGAAATGATAAAACCTGAAGAAGTGAATTTGCAGGAATATGAGGTAAGAAGTTGAATTACAGAATGTGCGATTCGGTCTCTCCCTGACATTTGCTGAATTCCAGCAAAACTAAGTTTGTATTTGTTTTGACTAATCTAGCTGCCTAGTGTATAAAGAGTTGTGGAACCAACCCCAGAGCAGGCAGTTGAAATCCACCAGCTGCTCTGTCAGAGAAAAAAGGGCAGTCTCCTTCATGCTTCTGAAAACCCACTTGAGGGTCAGTATGAGTAGATTCCTAACTTGACAGCACATAACAGCATAAAGTCAATCTGAAGTTATTAATATATTTATCAGTTATTTTAATTTCATCCATTAATATGCTAACATGTAAAACAAAAGTTGTAGAACCAAAACAAGGATATTGTCGTTTTGTTTTTAAATACATTCTTTACACTGCAGGATTAGTTCCAATTATTTTTAAATGAACTTTTTCAGCTTAAGGATAATACAGAAAATTTTATTATCTTTCAAATTGGAACTACATAGTAATACAAACTAATATTAAGTATTATATTCATCTAAATCTTTTATATGTATTATTAATTTAACCTAGACATAATAACATAAATACTCAGCTCAAAGAGTAGAAGAAGCTCAAAGGTGTGTATCCATAAAAGAAGCACATAAACTAGAACATTTTTATCAAGATCTATGATTTGGAGGAATAGGTATCCAGAATGTGTTTCCTCATGATTCTCACCTCATTGCCATTGAGTTGGGACCAACTTAAAGCTGACCATCCATTGGGTTTCTAAGACTGTGGTGACTAACAGCTCTGGTGGCGTAGTCCATAAAGGATTGCACTACTAACCCAAAAGTTACATCTCTCTGATAGGTCAAATCTGCTAGCACATCCCAAAGAGGAAGATGAGAATTCTCCTCCCATGCAGTTTACAGCCTTCGAAAACCTACTGTACTGAAAAGCTACTCCTACTCAGCTTCAATGTGTTGAGCTTGTGACAAGTCAGAAAGGGTACTGAGTTCTTTAAAACAGCCAGAACCGTTTTCCAGGCATGCCTGCGGGCCTTTTTACCTTAAGCATCACAGCTTTTGGTATGATAGACAGTTTCCTTTCCTCCCCCAAGTCCTGCAGCAAGCTGGGTGAAGACTCCTGACTTTGACTCAATATGGCAACAGTCTCAGACCAACTCTGTCTCACAGTGGTCTCTGGTTCTCTTTTGTTGCTGCTCTTGTCTAGGTCCTGGTCTGGCATGTCCAAATGGCTATGCACAGGCCTCCCTCAGAGTCTTCTTTCTAGCTGGTAGTGAGATTCCCCTCTTCTGCCTCTAAACCTGATTAAGTTTGACCAATCTCATCATTGACATCAACAGAGCACCTGTAACCTTTATATGTTAAGGTCTGCATTGTACCTTGTAAAACAAAATACTTATGTTCAAGGAGAATATTGTTGGCCACTACCTTTTCACCTTCTTTCTTTCAGTTGCTTAAAATTGTTAGCATTGTTATCAGTTATGCTGATATACTATTATACTGAATTTTATGGGTTTTGGAATTGATTTTATTATATAAATAAGAAAATTATGATTTGTTTTCTAGAGTGTAGTATGTCAGTTGCAAGTAATTTATTCCTGTTACACACTCTATTATTGCGTGTGGGATGGGGTTGTATAAAATGTGCCTTTTTCATTACTATCATTTTTATAATTTCTCAGGTAATAGATTATTCTGTTCCCATGTTAAAACTAAATTTACCACAAATATTTAAAAAATTTAAAGGTTAAATAAATGTAACCCTTAAAGTTTTCTATCAAGTAACAGGGCCTGAACTTCAACTCATTTCATATCATTTCTGCCATAGCATTTAATGGATATTCAATGTGTACTAAATACTTTATAATGACACGAAAATAATATGGTTTTAAATGGAAATATTTTTAGAACAAGAGAGATAACCTGTTTGATTATACTGCTTTTGTATTTTTGTTATATCCTAGTGAGAATGTGTTAATTCCTCATCACTGACTGTTTATTTTTATTATTATATTAGTAAATGGTTTTGTAAGTTTATAAGTACAAGAGAAATCCTAGATTTTGGCCTCATTCACTGCTGCCGTCGAGTCAGTTCTGATTCATAGCAACTCTGTAACAGATTTTCAAACTGGAAATCTTTTTGGAGGAGATTTCCTCTCCTGCTGCCACTGAGCAGCTGGTGGACTGCTACCAGACACACAATATTTTGGTTAGTAACACAACACCCTATGGACTTTGCCACCTATTTTATCTTAAATTTTAACTCTTTGCTTCTATTAATTAGAATAGTTACTAGAGAAATTACTATTTGATAACTTTCTTACTTTATGAAGAGTTCTCATTTTGATTATTGTTTCTCATTCTATATTTTTAAATTTTACTTACAGGAATGGCATCAGGATTATAGGAAATTTAGAGAAACAACTATGTATCTCATAATTGGGCTAGAAAATTTTCAAAGAGAAAGGTAAGAGAAAGCAAAAAATATAATGAGCTTAATTTTTGTATTGTCGGTCCATATGAATAATTGAGCTAGAAAATATTCAAAGAGAAAGGTAGGACAGAAGTAAAATAATATAGCAAGCTTAAGTTTTTATTTCATGTTGGTCATATGACTAAATTTAAAGAAATAGTTGCGTGTGTGTGTGTATAAATTACAAAGACAGGAGTATATAGAGTTCCCCCATACCTACCACACAATATGTTTTTAAATAGATATTAAAAAAATAAGTATGTAATGTTACTAAGAGTGTCTTTTTTTATTGGTTCCCAAATACTACAATTGAAACCTCGAACAAAATACTATTTTAGTCTAGGCCTCAGATATGTTTCAGATCTTTTAATGGCAATGTGGCTACACTGCTTAAAAACTATTAATTGTGCCAATTATCTATAAAGTAGCATTTGCATTGGGCAGGTTTTTGTCAGGGACCTAGAAATTATCAAGGAGCAGTGATGTCATTCTGAAGACTAAGGTGCACCATATCCAGGCCATAGCTATTTTCAGTGATTTGCTATGCATGTGAAAGCTGAACAATGAATGAGAACAACAGAATTGATGCCCTTGACTTGTGGTTTTGGAGAAGAGTACTAAATATCACGAGTTTCTAAGCAAAAACCAAATATATATGTCTTAGAAAAATGTAGCCGGAGTATTTCTTGGAGTTGCCTCCAAATGAAGAAATGAAGCTTCATCACATGTACTTTGAACAACTTGCTCAGAGAGGCTCTTCCTTGGAAAGGAACATATGCTTAGAACGATGGAGGGTCAGAGTAAGAGAAGAAGAACCTCCACAAGATAGATTGACACAGTGCCTGCAGCATTGGGCTTAAGTGTGTCAAATAAGAGGAGGATGGCACAGGATGGGAAAGGGCTGAAATCTGTGGTTCACAAGGTCACTGAGAGTTGTACCTCAACTTGATAATATCTAACAACTGTCCCAAAACAGTTGTATAAAACAACAACAATAATATCTGTGATACTGTTTTCCTTTTTCATTAGAAATAAGGCCAAAAAAATCTTTAGCTGAGATAACATCCATATTATTTTAAAAAATTAAGTTTGGCATGCAAATTTTCTCAGAAACAAATTTCTGAGGCATTATTTTTTAAGAAATAGTATTTTACCCCTGATTAGGGAGCTTTGTTTTTCATAGTAGCTCAGGTATGTAATTTCATTGTTATATATGTGTGTTTTTAATTCCCAAGTAATTTTACATTTATCTTTTCAGCTAGTATAATTAATTTTATATAGGAACATGTTGAATTAAAAGCAACACTTGTTGAAAGTATACCATTTTTAATTTCTGTCATTAAAATATTTCTGTCTTTAAAATGTTATACTTCTATTCAGGTATAATATATTTTAATGTGGAGAAATATCTTTCATATTTATACACATGTATATGTGTATTTTTTTCTATGCAGCATGCTAAGAAAAAGGTATTTTTTGAAGCAGATATTATTCTATTAAATCTATCTCATTGCTCCCATTGATAAACCTAGTTTGCCATTTGCTTTACTATCTTTTTCTTTCGCTCTATTCTTATTATTTCTGTTAACTATAACCCATATCCCTTGCCCTGTTGTCAGCCTGTAATATTAGGTTTTATTCTTTTCATTCTCCCCAGACTGACCAGACTTTAGATGCATTCTCTTTTCTTTCCTTCTTCCATTTTCTTTGGTTAATTTCTCCCTTTATTTCTTACATTTTTTCAAATGCCTAGAGCAGTGCTTATATAAAGAAAAGAACTGAATAAATAATCATGTTTGAGATAAAAAACAAAGTAACTTGACCCTTCCTTTATTTAAAAATTATCTTATTAAACAAGTATGTTATTAGCTTTTACATCAGTCTTAATGATATGTCCAAAAAGAAGCTATTGGGAAAATACTTAAGAACACATAATTTTTACCTTAATTTATCAATTTTAGCCCTTTTCCCCCTCAGTTTTTTTAAATGTCTAACTCCTCCCTCCCTTTTCTTTATTAAACCTTAAGACTTCACTTTTCATATTTCAAAAGTTGTCGGTACACTCTGAGGCATAGAATTGGTTTAGTGATTTTTCCCCCCCTGTAATCCTGTCCTGAACAATCAAATTTAAAGCCTTGTAACTTAGTTGATTTTTCTTTTTTTACAAATATAAAATGCTAATCTGTGATATTTCCTTTTAAGTTACATAGATTCCTTGCTGTTCCTTATCTGTGCTTATCATAACAACAAAGAACTCTTCTCTAAAGTCCTGTACAGAGGACAGGATGAAGAATTAATATCCCATTATAGAAGAGAATGTTTACTAGTAAGTAGAATGTACATCATGTGTACATTTGCGACTATTTTACTTTACAATGGATACATTTTTCAGGCTTTTATATCAATGACTGACTTCATAAACTGTGATAACAAAATACATGTTAGTGTTTATAACTAAATGTTTTTTCACACATACTCTCTTAAGATGGGGAGATACACTGAATTCTTTGTCCTTCTTTGTGGATCCAAATACTAAGAGCTGATAAACTAGAAATGCTAATAAGCTACAATTTAGACTGATTTAGTTCTTTTTTTTTTTTTAAAAAAAAAAAAGAAATTCCTATATCACAGCTACTTGTTTTGATAGTGGAGATGTGTATGTATAAGTCCTGTAGAAGTAGGATTTTTTTTTTTAACACAGAAAAGTAATAATGAATTTTTCAAAGATTTTATAAGTAGAAGTACTAAAAGTAAAAACAAAATCCAACCCAACCCAACGCTGTTTCAGCACATAGCCACCCTTCAGTCAAGTTTTTGAGGCTGTACATTTTATGGAAGGAAACTGTCAATCTTTTTCTTGTAGGCAGCTAGTAGATTTCAACTGACAACTTATATATGAAGAATATAGAAGATTGTAAAGGAAGTAAAATCAAGAAACTTGAGAATGAGTGAACAGAAGAATCAAGAATTCAGCTTGCCTGGCTTTCAAGCTTTATATTTGACTTTTGGAGAACTAAAAAGGATGAAACAGATTGGTCTTGGACACTTTAAATTTATATAAAGTTAATAACATTCTTCAATTCAGCTCAATTAGAACAAACTGTGACTTTAACTTGAGGATAATAATGCCTTTTTTGAGGTCTGGTGTCCCAGTAGCACAAAACTGCATTGCAATCTCAAAGTCAGGTGGTTCAAGAACTCCATTTGATCCATAGGAGAAGGATGGCTAATCTCCTCCCATGAGATTAACTTCCTCTGAAAACCCACAGGAGGGTCAGCTATGGGTTGGTTCTGTCTCTTAGGTACTCAATAACAACAACAATACCTATATGCCTGAATTCCTATTGCCAAAATTTACAGGTAGTTACTGACTTATGGCTGGCATATTCATGTTATGACAAACCTCATTTACATCTGATTTTTTTGCTTTGCTTTGTTTGGTTTCGTATATTTGTCATTGTACGTCTTTCTTGGTTTAATATACAAGAGAATGTATGCAAGGGATATATATATATAATTTGCTAAAATATGTGAACATACTTTAAACACATGATCACGATTTGAACTTGGCCTACCAAGTGATTGAAAAGAACATTGCCTAAATCGAGTGCTCCTTAGTCATCAACTGAGACAATTGTTCCTCAGTAACTTAGGTCCCTACCAGCAGACTTCTCCAGTGTATGTATCTTTTTATCTCCTGACTGCTGGAACCAAGGGTGTTTTTGTGGATCCAAGTAAAATGAAATTATTGACAATGTTAGTCTTTATCTATCATGATGTTGCCTATTGACCCAGGGCAAGAATACTTGTCTTGTTGAAGTTGAGATGTAATCCATATTACATCTTTTTCTAATCGTGATGCCACATTTTTCACAGAATGCAGCTTCTTGAATGATTTACTTAGTATACAGATTGAATGGATAAAGGATACAACCCTGACATAGACTTTTCCTGATTTTAAACCATGCTTTGTTCTCTTGTTCCATTCTGACACAACAACTTTTTTGCAGGTTTAGGTTTTGTCTGAGTATAATTAGGTGTTCTGAGATGCTCCTTCTTCTAAGTGTTAGCTATACTTTGTGATCCACATAGTTAAATGTCTTCTCATTGTCAACAAAACACAAGCATTCTTCTAGGATTCTCTGCTTTTGTCATCAGTGTGCCAAGGCCTTTTCTAAACTCAGTTCCATCTTCTGTTAGTTCTCTCCCAATGTGCTGTTCAAGACATTTTTGGGTGATCTTCACCAATATTTTGTTTGCATGTGATATTAATGATAACGGTATGGAGACAGGACACATCCCTGGAGTACACCCTTCCCAATTTTGGACCCTGCTTTGTTCTGACAACTGCCTCTTGGTCCTAGTATAAGTTTCACATTAGCACAATTAAATGTTCTTGAATTCCCATTCTTCTGAGAGTCAGCCACAGTTTGTTATGATCCACACAGTCAAA